GCTTTGCAGTTATATACATGGAAGTCAGATGAATGACAGAATAAAGTCACTATGAACAAATCCTGCAGGCATAACACTATATGCACTGATGAATTCTATTCCTGCCTGAATTTCCAGAAGGACTGGTTTTATGAATTGGGCTTCATAGAGAAGTTCCATGCAATCAACTTCTACTTTCTTAAAAAAGAGAAACTATGAATTCAAATAGAAAACCATCTTGATCCTTCCCTAACAAAGCTATATTGGCCTGAAAGCCAAAAGGACATCCCAGACAGTCACATGTGATTGAGCTATAAAGGGGATTTGTGTGCATGAGGGAACGACTAACAGACGTGAAGAGCTGGTGCAAATAACTGATGCAACAAACACACAGTGCAGAGTTACATAAAAATATTTAGGTCCAAATTACTAAATGATTAAACTATTAACAAAATCTTAAACTTCAGAACTAAGCAAATCAGTAGTTACATTTATAGACAATCCTGATACTTAGGCTTTTAGGACCAAAAACAGATTTATATGTAGTCTATTTATTAAGCAATCATGTAGTAAGAGTGTACAAATTCATGGAGAAGAAGAAATGTAAGTGAAAATAACACTCACAATAGTACAATCTTGCTGTTGATGTCTTGTCTGAAGGGGAAAGGGGACTCTAAGGAATTGAGCTGATTGGTCAGCTGGTCATCTTCCTCCATTAAGAGGTTTTCTCCATCCACCTCGTCCTGGACTCCCTGAGGCTGGTCCCACGTGGGGAGGTTCTGGACCTCCACAAACTGGGAACGAGCTCCCAAGGGATCCATGCTGTAGCTTCACAAGGCAATTTTGAACTGAAAAGACACAGACAAGCATTTACACACAATAAGACCTCAGTTTGACCTGGGCTATATTAGCACATAAATGCATACACACAGATATGTTTGCATTAGTTTACACATGTAAAGTGGTTACAATGACAGACTTCGATGCTGAGGCCTTCTAGTGGGCCCCGAACCCTGGTTGAGAACCAATTTAGTAAGAATTTTTTAACCTAGATGTACATGCAAGTGTTTCACACTTAATAACTCATGTTTACAAAAAACATATGACATTATTATTAGATTTCAACACAGTGTGGTGCTTTCTTCAAAATGAATTCACATAAAACATAAAGCCACAATGAAATAGAAGAAATTAGTTCCCAAACTTTCAAAATGTGACAATAATTGTAAAAGTATTCAGCAAGACTTTCTGTGCCAGCTGCAGTATGAGAAGCAGAACAGAGAGGCTCTATCAGTGCAGACAGACAGGAGGACTTCAGGAACAGATAAGATATTCAGCAGAAATGAGATGCATGTGTAAAGGTCGACTCCCCAAATTAAATTTCAACAACAACAACAAAGCTACGAGTTCCTTCAAATACATAAAAGTTTCAAAGCAATAGGCACATACAAACAATGCAACACAATACAGTTTTAAAGAGTATAAAAAGGAAAGCAACATGTCATACTCATTCTAACCACACAGGTTTATATTGACTTGAAAATGCTAATTATAACCACCATCAATCACAATAACCAGCAACCTACCAGATGTCCTATGATGCAGCTATTGAGTCCTTCCTACTGCACAAACAAAACCACATTAGCTCCAACTAATCCGTTAAAGATCACTGTCATTTTCCAGTGCTTCCGCTTTTAAATTAGCCATTGTTAAAATGTGATTTTAGCTGCTTGTGGTCAACACATCGTATTTGCAACATTCAGCGAGTTTCCCGATCAGCTGATTCACGAGGACAAAAATCATCACTTCCGGGAATGCAGTAGGGGCAGTAGCTATGTTGTCGATCCGTGTAGAAAACGCACAGACCTATACAAAATTGAAAGACATATTTTAATCGACGTTCTGGTGTCATCGCTAAATTAAAATAAGCATAATAAAGTACAATGAATAAATAAATGAAATAAAGTTTTAATTATAAGCACACGGATACGCCTCATGGACAGCAACATGACTTCACACTCACAGACCGAAGTAATCGATAGGATACACATAATTCATAAGAAGAGCAGATAAATAAAACACATAAAGCAGTGTGAACAATGAGGTAGCATTCCGAACAATATTTTAGAGTGATACAGATGTCTATAAAAAGATAAATTCTAGAAACGTTTCGTGAAGTCACATCGTAGTTCTGCTCGGTAATCTACCACTTTTGTCTTTACCTGATGTCACACATGCGACTGAAAGCAAAGCATGTAGAAGTTCTCCACATCCACAGAGGCATTCTTTTCATAAAGGACTGCACATACAGTATACGTCTAATCGACAAAGTATGTAACTACATTTTCTATACGCAGTGGCTTATTTTGAACTTGGTTATCTGCATATCTCTTGCTCTTTAAATGAGATTAAACGGACTGCATGTGGTTCACGTTGCTGTGCATATGGTCGCATGGACCTCAAAGCGTGGTGTTGGAGTAACAGTTGCTCACTTTCATTTTATGAACTGACCGTTTAATTCATATACGTTACACTTAGCAATCATACATTTTTAGAGGTACTTATGAGAGTCATTTGTGGCAGCCGAATAACTAAAACACCAATAAACAACGTCACAACCACAGATCTGATGTTAACATGTTGACACAGGATAAAACTGTATGAAAATAATATTAAACATGTAGTAACTTAGCATTTATTTTTGCCACTAAAAGTCTTTATATGTAATATAATTATATTTTCCAACAATCTCAGTATTACGGTTTTATACATTAGCTGTTCACCAATAATTAAGATTTTTTATGTATTCATTGTCAGGGATCATGCATAAAAAAATCATCTCATAATTAAAAAGATGCTTTAGCTACTAGCCAATTTCCATCTGCAAATGCATTTGCTTTGACATAAATCTTATTTTATGCCATGTAGAATTTACTTTGATATGCAGCTTTATACAGTATGATTGGTCTTTTCTAAATATGTGCTCACATGATAAATTGTGCAGTTTTCTAGATTAAAGGAGCAACACATCTAACCCTACTCCCTTACTGTTGTGTGTTTGTGTGTCTACAGCCTCTGGCTTGTCATGGGTTTAACTAAGCAGTACCTGCGCTATGTGGCGAGTGCTGTGTTTGGAGTGATCGGCAGTCAGAAAGCCAATATCGCGTTTGTGACCCTCAGGGGAGGTGAAAAGGGTCGATATGTCGCCGTGGGAGCCTGTGAGCATGTGTTCATATGGGATGTCCGCAAAGCTGAGAAGGTACTTGCTTTAAATGGTTTAGAAGATTGCTTAGTACATTACATTCACTCATCAGTTTATATAAACTCATATACGTTGAACTCACCCCTTTCATTTCTCAGGTTCTTATACTTGAAGGTAAAAAGCATGAGGTAACATACCTGTGTTCTTCTCCTGATGGCGTTCACATAGCGGTGGGTTATGAGGATGGAGGTGTGCGCATCTTTAATCTGCTCAACGGTGAAAGCAACATCTCCTTCAGTGGACACAAATCAGCTGTCTCAGTTATTAGATATGATGCACTTGGTGCTCGTCTCGTCACCGGCTCGAGAGTAAGACTACAGTTTGTTTTACAACTGTTTTTTTTTTTTCAAACAAATTTTCAATTCTACAAACTAAAATCATTTTCGTTGTTGTATTTTAGGACACAGATGTGATTGTGTGGGATATCATCAATGAGTGTGGTCTGTACAGACTCAAAGGACACAAAGATTCAATCACACAAATTTTGTTCTTGGAGAGCAAAAACCTGCTGATTACAAGGTAAATCGGTCTTTATATTTTATTGGAACGAATTTATCACTTGAAAATACTCATATTATATTGTATTAGGGATGCACCGATACCACTTTTTCCAGTACTCGCCCGATACAGATACTTTTATTTTTGGTACTTGCCGATACCGAGTACCGATACCGATATTTCTATTTTTTATTTGTACATTTTTTAAATATTGGGTACAGAAACCAAAAGAGTATGTATTATGTTAGTTGGTTAACTTCATTTATCAAATAGATACAGTCAAACCAAAATTTATTCAGACACCTTCAACATTTCTCACATTATAGTATATATATAGTATATATAGTTTAGAAAATGGTAATAAAATATGACAAGAACTCAGAGTTAAACTGTGTCAGAACAAATTCACTTAACTCCTTTCTGCTGTCTGTTGTTCTGTTGTCGGTGTTTCTTTGTTTGTTCACATGCTGTGTGGTATCGGCGTTTGGTATCGGGGCATTTTAACGAGTACGAGTACAGGATACCAGTATCGGTATCGGTGCATCCCTACTTATTATATTATAGATATTCATACACATCATTTACCTGAATATAAGTAGCTTTTTCATCATCTGAAATGTGCTGTGACATTAAAAATAAAATTAACGTCAAAAACACAAAATATTTGGATTTTGGCCATAAGTGAGAGGTACATGAGGCCAAGTTTCCCACGTGCCAGTGGTTTCAGTTTCACCTTAAATAAATGTTTTTAGGCTCTATGTATATATTTATAGTAAACATTGTTTATTATGAATGCCGCAATAATTTTATATTTTTCATTACTGCAGTTCTGCACTAAATACTGTTAAATTTCAAGGATTTGAGTGAGGGGAACCAAAATAGTTTGTAATTTTTGTAAACATTTCATTTTATTTACCTATTTTACGTATGTTTCCTCAGTTCCAAGGACAGTTTTGTAAAGTGGTGGGACTTGGGCACACAGCATTGTTTCAAGACCATGGTGGGGCATCGCACTGAGGTAAACGGGTTCATTTTACACTGTTGAGACTTGATCTTTCTGAAATATACAACACAACAATTTAAATGCATGCTCTTGCTGCTTTGGTATGTCCACATAAATCAATGTACTGTAAATGATTAGGGAGTTTACTGTAAATGACCTGAGGTTAGGTGGCATTTGGCATCGTAAAGAAAAATCGTAAGGTGTTTTCTTACTTTACTTTTGGACAATGAGCCTCCAGCACTATCCGAATATCTATTAGTGTTGTAATACAATGCAACATTCTCTCCAATCTCTGTAGGTATGGGGGATGGTCCTGTTGAACCAGGAGAGTAGGTTGCTTACAGGGTCTGCTGACAGTGAGCTCAGAGCCTGGGACATTCAGTACATTGAGGAGGTAAGGCATATAATTTATGTTGTGCCAAATGGTTACTTTGTTGGCTGAATTACATTCCAGTACAGTCTTGAATGTGATACTTGAACTCTTATATAGAGAATTAAAGCTGATTTCATATATTCAGAATGACATTAAAGTTTCTTCACAGGGTAAGGAAGTGGGGGAGCCACAGGAAAAGAAAGTCAGAACTCTTCTTGAGAACGAGGAGGAAGATGAGGAAGGACTTGACGAAGAGCCAGAAGAAGTAATATTTCTTCCAGTATTCTCTCCAGTGCACCCTGTTAATTTAATTAATGTATTCAGTGGATCCTAGTGACTTGACAATACACTTCACTTAGGGTTTCCTTTAAATGTTCATCACAGATCTGATTTCTGTCCACAGCGAATTCTCAGTTGTAAGAAAGCTGGTTCTGTTCTGAGGGAAGCCAGAGACAGGGTTGTATCCTTGGTCACAGACGCCAAAGCTAAAGTGCTAGCATGCCATGTAAGTATGTTTCTGTTGTGTATACTAGTGTAACATCCTTCTGAAAAAGGGTTTCACTCTTATTAGCTTGGTCGGTAATGTTGAGAAGTACCTAATTAAAAGTAGCTATGCAATAGGGCAAAAATTGAGCCTACAACATATATTTTTTTAAAATCTTTTAACAGGGTCTGGATGCTACGCTTGAAGTCTTTACTGTACTATCTGAGAAGGAGGTCCAGAAAAAAATGGACCGAAAACTAAAGAAAGCCAAGAAAAAAGCAAAGTGTGTGAGACCTCTGTTTTGAAATGTGAAGTTGTTATTCTTAGCTTTTCTGCTATTCTGATGAACTGTTATGTTTTGCAGGTCTCAAGAAGGAGAAGAGGATGGACCTGAACCTGTAGTGGAGAGAAAGTTGAGTGATGAGATTCAAAAGCTGGCAAACATAAAGGCGTCATCCAAGATCAGGTCAGAGAGTACTTCTACATGCAGTTATAGTCCCCTTGTGTGCGTTACTGGTATTTAGTATTGATGGTAATGCTTTTTTCATCTACAGAGCGATGGACTGCCTTCTGGTTCCTAACGGAGAGATCAAGCTTGCTCTTCTGCTGCAGAATAACACAGTGGAGACATACACCTTGAAGACTACAGAGAAGAATCCTACTGGCACTAAAACCTCTCGCCTCACACTGGGCCGTCATCGTACAGATGTCAGAACGCTGGCCTTCAGCTCAGATAACATAGCCATCCTCTCTGCCTCTGGAGAGACCGTCAAAGTGTGGAACAGGTGAGTGTGATGATGACAAATGTTTCAATTTATTTGCGTGGGCTCATAGATTTTGAGTCCTTAACTAGAAGTATCTTCTTTGGTCAGGTCCACCTTGCAGGTCATTCGTACCATGGGATGTGAATATGCTCTCTGCTCGTTATTTGTTCCTGGAGACAGACAGATTATCTTAGGAACAAAGGTATGTAACTCTTCACTTCTCAGTCGTCAATCAATTAATTCTTCAACTTCATGTCTTAACTTTATTACAAACCTGCATGACAAAATTACAAAAAAAGCCATGTTTAGAAGCCATATGCAAGATTAGCGAGGAGCAGTTTTTCATATTTTTTTTTTGTGCATACTACGCACTAACATTGTGGTATTTATTCATATTTTGAATTAGATTTTTTTTCTTCTTCGGTTTTCATTTTAATTTCAGTTTTAGTTTTTTTGTAATTTTTATTATTTCTTCATTTCTGTTTTAGTACTGATATTTAAACTAAACTAGGTGTGTAAAGAGACACTGTGCCACATTGGCCGTAATTGACATTAAAAGTGCCATTAGTTCTGGTCTGTCTTGTAACCGAACATGAGCCACCAACTTTGAAAATGCATGAATGAGATTTGAATGAAACATTTCCTGAATGCTAATTAAGATCCTGAAAGATTATCTGTTGCAAAAATTTGAGTCCATATATCTTACTATGAAAAATTAATTTTTCATTATTCTTTTGTCAGAGTGGGAAGATTCAGATTTTCGACCTGGCCTCAGGAAGCCTTCTAGAGATGACTGACGCCCATGATGGAGCTCTTTGGTCCATGTGTCTTTCTCCAGACCAGGTATAATATCGATCTCTCTTTTGAATGACAAAGAGCTTCTCATCCCTACAAAACACCAGTCTGTGACTACAGTGAATTCCTGACTCTATTCCAAAGACAGACAGTAAGCTGTCAGCAAGAGTTTTAGCTTTATGTGAACATATTTGACTTTGATTTGTGTGTGTTAATGCAGAGAGGGATTGTAACTGGTGGTGCTGACAAGACTGTGAAATTCTGGGACTTTGAGCTCATAAAGGATCAGGACTCTGGGAAGAGCAAGTGAGTTATTATCTGTGATCACAAACCACGGCTCTCATCCAGATTTCTCCATCTCTCTTTCTCTTCTTGGCTTTAATGTATTATTGCTTTGTGTAATCCACAGGAGACTGACGGTGAAGCACACACGCACCCTGCAGATGAGGACGTGCTGTGTGTGCGCTACAGTCCTGACCAGAGACTGCTGGCTGTCTCTCTTCTCGACTGTACGGTCAAGATCTTTTACACAGACACACTAAAGGTAAACCACAAGCACAGCATATAGCATTACAATACTTTCCTCACACCACAACACAGCATCTTGCATGTTAAATCCATACATAAATCCAATGCTTTGTAAAAAAAAAAAAAAAAATGTTAACAGTGTCAACAAAAAGACCACTGTTAAACTCGAATTACATTTACTGAGAGATATTTTACCACCGATAAACATCCTGACACTATATGCAGACAGGCCCGGTTTATATCAACATCCATCTTGGGTGATCTGACCACGTTAGCTGAGACCGACAGCTAACGTTATTCTTTATCGAAGAATAACATATGTCTCAAATGTATGTCCAGAGCTATGAACTCATACATCATGTGTTAGTGTGTCATGTTGATCAAGTGCGAAAAATAAAGAAAAAATGTTGCTCAGCACAAATTATATTTCAAACAGAATGCTTGATGTTTAATTGCAATTTTATTCGAAGACTTGCATTAACTGATCTTCAGTTTATGTATTCGTGCTTCGCATGATATATGTGACCCTGGACCGTCTTAATTTTAGCAATAGCCAAAAAAACATTGTATGGGTCAAAATTATAAAAAAAAAATATGACTGGTTTTGTGGTCCAGGGTCACATATGTTACTGAAATGAAAAAGTCTTGAAAGTTTTATAGGCCTGATGGATGGATGAGAGTTCAATAATTCAGTCATTTTCTTATTTATAATTATCATATAATTGTTAATTTTAAATATGTTACTTTTTTTTATTTTTAT